AATTCATTCTCTGCCAGCAGGTGCCGCTTTCAGGACGGCAGAAATATAGCGGTTTCCCCGGTAACGGCAGTACACAAAATAGCGCAGCACCTGACTTTGAAATGTTCAGCGCTCATATTTATTCAATGAAATTATAGCCTTCTGAAGTTTAATCGTCACATTAAGCTATATCACAATTCTCGTCTTTCCGTCCCCAAATTTAAGACCTCCTGAAATCATAAGACGTTCTTGTATCATTTAAGACATTTTATGGCCTTTCATTTAATACAACTAAATTCAAGACTTTTTAAGGACCCATCAACTTTCATAATTTTTGAGAATGCAATTGTTTTTCACTCACGGAAAGTTTCATCTGTCTGTGAGCCACTTTCTGCTCTCTTCACTGCATGCAAGCCTGCATGTCTGAACGTAGCAACAGTTAACTGTAGTAGCAACCTGTGGCGCCGTAGGACCCAAACAGCCCTACTGTGCTGACCTTGATATGACTAATACAAATTTGACTTTTAAAACGCGTCTCCAGATCTTTCCACTGATAACTTCTGTGCCTCACATTTTTAAACGCAAGAACATGTGTTGAACAATTTTTAAAATTCTGCCTAATGCAGAGGAACCACTGGGATTTAGTCTTTGACAGCCACCATGACTGATGTTAGCAGAGTCAAACCCAATGAAAACAAGAATGCAGATTAATTGTTCATGTGCTACACTGGCCGGTGACATCATGACAGTGATACTGACTTCGTAAAAACACCCGAGGAACCCAAGAGTATCAGAACAGTCAGAAGGCAGTTCTGGAAGCTCTGTGAATTATGGCTACTAACAACACATGAAGAGCCAATTGGCTGGAACAGTAGAGGGTCACAGTTGTCCATACAGCACATCAAAGCTAAAGAGGATGATAAAATGAATCATGGGAACAGTGAGATGATTGTATAGAGTGTGGAGATGTATGACTCAGATGGGTAGGGAAAGGATAGGGAGCCACTGGGATCACCATAGAGCAGTGGTGGTACTAAGCCCTAGCCAAATCAAGAGCAAAGTTGACAAAAGCCACATTTAATAACTAATTACATTAACCTAAGCTTGCTAGCTGATTGTCCTAGCTACTGACAACTCCAGTGCGTGTGCCAGTCAAGTGTGAGAGGCCTTGGGTTAATTCTGACAGCTCAGAGGAGAAGCAAACCAATGATACTGAAAATTGTTATAACAGCTGACAAAATGTTAATATTTACATTTATTCATTTGGCAGACTCTTACTTTATCCAAAGTATTATTTAAGTATACTGTACACTTCAAAATACACACAGATCATGTGTTTCCTGGGAATCGAACCCATGACCTTGGCATTGGTAGTGCAGTGCTCTATCAGCTGAGCTACAGGAACTGAAAACTATTACATGAGTGTTAGATTAATGATTTATATATTGAGGCGCACATTCTCATCTTGTGTGTAGCCATGAGCAAGCACATACCTTAGCTGTCTATTACTATTCATTAGTGATGGTGAAAGGTTGAGACTGTGTAATGGAGACAAACGCAGCCGTCCATTTTATGGCTGAAGGGAGGGAGAGAAAAATAAGCAAATCAGAAGGCAAGAGTTTTCCTCTCAATCCCTCAGGTTATAGCATTCCGAACCACTACGTACTGAACCGTTCTTTGTTGGTTTGGGCCGACATTCCCACATCTGTTCTGGATATGTTAGCTGCCCATTACTACGCACAAGCCAAAATATTTTGAATCGTTTTTCCTGTGTGATTGTGAAAAATGACAGGAGGGAATCCAGTTGACTTACAGTCTGTTGATAGTTATAAAGATAATTAGGTTGAGTAAGTCAGAGAGAAGGAGAAAGTGATGAAAATAGAGACAGACACAAATGGAGACAAATCAGCAGGTTTCTGGACTGCACAAGATCTTCTTTTCCCATGAAGTCAGGTTCAAGGCCGGGTGTCTTGTTTGGCAGACCAGCCAGAAGGACGATTATGTATGTGATCCACTTTCTGCACCATAGCCCAGATTTTCCTTAAAACCTTGTCTTACACTCTTCTCACTTTCTAATCCCTTCACTCCACACAGTTTGCTTCTCAAAGTCTGTAGCCTACAGTGTCAAATTGCTCCACCGTGTATGATTAGTTCAGCCCAGATTAGGCTGCGTTTGATTGTGGCTTTCATTTCACTTTACGGTTTGAAAGGAAGAGTCAGTCATTTTGAAACCCACCCCTAAGCATTTCAGGTTAGCTTTAGATTACTGACTACATCCGGACAGAATCAGTCAGTAGGACCTTCAAGCTAACAAATATAAAGTTATAATATAAAGAAACTGTGGAGGAGAGCTGAATAAAAACTCAGTAGAGGCTACTGACCCTGGCCAAGTTAAACAAGTTTGGGCATAGCATGCTAAACCACTGACATATAAGGCCCCTGATTAGCACTGAGAAGTCTGATTTTAGCAAACAGGTTCATTTGAAAAGTAAAAAAAAACAAGCAAATAAAGCAAAACAAAATTCACAGATTCATCTGTCCAAATTTTCCAATTTCAAATGTTGTACTTATGGTTCATAGTAACACTTATCTAACTCACTCCCAAATTAAAAAAAAGTCAGCAACACATTCCTATAGAGGCAATATGGTGTTCCAATGGAGCTGAAGCAAAGAGACAGTTTCACCTTTGTTATTCACTGTGTGGTGTATGTAGAACTGTACTGGATCTGCAGACACATCTTTGGTCTCGCAGCACAGATGGCAGAATTGCTGACTGAAAAATGTGTCTGTATAAACAGGGAGGGGGACCTGAGAGAGCACATCTAGGTGTTGATGAAAAGCAGAGCTCAGCATGGAGGGAAAGGTGATACTGGGATTAGAGAAGCCTAACGCAGCTCCCGGAGAGTGCTGCTAAGACAAATACTGAAGACATGCTGGGGTACTCAGAGTGGGAGATTGTTAAATACTGAACCATGTAGCGTGGGCTACACAGCAGGATGTTAGAGCACGTAGGAATTTGATCCCCTGAACCCTGGAGAGCTGGTGAAGGGGGTGGTAAGTTTCAGAGCAGGAGGTACAAGGGTGGGAGAATGCAGGGATTAAAGTTCCGTTGCTACGACGGATTTCCGTCAGTTCATAAAGACAGTCACTTGCTTCATTCCTGAATGATTCAGCCGTTCGAACGAATCAATTGAATAAATGATTCAGTGATAAAATCGGCGACTTGCCGCCACCTGCTGGCGGATTTAGTTTAATTTTTAGTGTATAATTTCAGTTACTTGAATCATATTTCTGTATTCAAAATTTTATATTTAAAACATTAATCTCCACATGAATTTATGAATTTAATTGCACTCATGCCCCCTCTGAGCCTCATTAAACGTCTGAAAATGTACGTACAAGCCACTTTGGTGTTCTTCTGTGCCACCTCAGTAGTACAAATTAATTTATTAATACTAATTTCATATGACTGGTAACTTATTTGTCTTATTCTACATATTGTTTTAAATAGAAATTTTAAAAATATTATAAACATACATTTTTGAATCTGACAGATTAAATTTTTTCATCCTTTGTCATACCTTTGTCATTACAAAGGTAAAAAGAAAATACACCTGTAAGTCACTTTAAGAAGTCAAATGTCACTTCGTATTAGGAAGGCTAATTTTTTATCAGAATTTTTGATTATTGATCAGAAGGTGCTCCTAAATTTTTAAATTAGGAGGACAAGCGCTCCTAATTACAAGAAGAAAAAAACTGCTCTTAAACTAGGTGTGTGACAGGTATGGCTGAGAAATGGGGTTTGGTCAAAGAAAATTTTTCAGTCAAAATATTTTTTTTTTGCTTTAATCCCTGCAATATAATAAGAAGTAGAATAAGACAAATAAGTTACCAATCATATGAAATTAGTATTAATAAATTAATTTGTACTACAGAGGTGGCACAGAAGAACACAAAAGTGGCTTGTAGGTACATTTTCATACGTTTAATGAGGCTCAGAGGTAGCATGAGTGCAATTAAATTCATAAATTCATGTGGAGATTAATGTTTTAAATATAAAATTTTGAATACAGAAATATGACTTAAATAACTGAAATTATACGCTAAAAATGAAACTAAATCCACCAGCAGGTGGCGGCAAGTCACTGATTTTCAGTGAATCATTCATTCAATTGATTCGTTCGAACAGCTGAATCATTCAGGAATGAAGCAAGTGAATGTCTTTATGAACTGACGGAAATCTGTCGTACCGACGGAACTTTAATCCCTGAGAATGGTTATAGTCCACACTAAAGATGGGGTTGTGTATAAAATGCCATGGTAATGACATCAGAGGAGAGATGAACTGTTAGCGGACGATGTAAAGCATCTGGATATGGGCATGTGTTAGTGGAGGATGTGAAGCATCGAATGTGTGTTTGATTTAAGTGTCTGAGACAAGACTGAATAGCACAGCAGGGTGTCTGTGATAACAGAAGGGGTAAAGGTTGTACACCATGTTGAACTGCTAATACCCATACTTTTCATGGCAGCATTCCATTAAAGCATTGAAGGAAACAAGAAGAAAAAAAAAAAACACTTCACTGGTCTTGTCTGGCCTAATGACAGCCCTTGTGGACGTCCACTTTGCCACATGAGCTACTGGGTAAAGGTCTGCTGTGAAGTCCACACTAGAACATGCTTGGCAAAAGAAAGCTCATTCTTTTTCCTTATTCCACTATTTCTCACTCCTCATTTGTAGTTGTCAGCAATGTAGATTCTTTGTCACAGCCCCTTTGGCTTAGTAAACAGGACATTTTTGTTGCGGTTAATTCATTCCGTAGCTGTGGTTGACTTCTAAATGGCCATTCTGAGGCAAAGTTTAAAGACATTAAGTCACCTGCAAGGTGGTGTCTAGAAAAGTAAAACTAAATGCTAAATGTTACTGTAGCTTGCATAAGACAAACATAATGAAACTTTTAAAGGTAAGTTGATGATGTACATGACTGCTGATTGACAGCTGCTTTTCTTTCTCCTTATAGGTGAAGCATTTTTTTTGGATTTTCCACTTCGTGGAGGTGGAGGAAGAGAAGGGTAAACAGAAGAAAGAAGCCAACAAAAAGTAGGTGAGGTGATAACAGAAGCAACCATGAGAGACATAACATGGTGCATGGGCATCATGCTCTGCCTCTCCATCTGCTTGTTCGGCAAGAGCCACTCAGGAAATGCACTCATGCAATCTCGACCACGGCGAGCACCTACCGATGACTCCAAAAAGTGCTCCTACACTTTCCTGGTGCCCCAGCAGAGGATCACAGGTCCGATCTGCACCTCTGCCACCGGGCCCGAGCCAGACAAAGACCGGGTGACACGTATGGACATTGCCGATGTGCGGGATGTCCTATCCAAGCAGAGACGGGAGATTGAGATGCTGCAACTAGTGGCGGACGTAGACGGGAACTTGGTAAATGAGATGAAGCTTCTGCGCAAAGAGTCTCGTAACATGAATTCCCGAGTGACACAGCTCTACATGCAGTTGCTTCATGAAATTATCCGCAAGAGGGACAACTCCCTAGAACTGGCGCAACTAGAGAACCGTGTGCTGAACGTCACCACAGAGATGCTCCGACTGGCCTCCCGTTACAAAGAGCTGGAGCTACGTTTTGCAGGCCTTGCTGGCACAGTTAACAACCAATCTGTGCTCATTGCCGCCCTGGAGGATCGTTGTCTTCGTGGATATGGACGTCAAGATCTTCCTGCAGGTCCGCCGCTGGTGCAGGTGGTTCCAGAGAGCATTCCAGCAAACAACAATCGCTTCACCAATGAGATTCAGAGAGACAACAACAACAGAGCCTTTCCTAGAGGATCACGAATGGATGCCCCAACGCCTGACCCACTGGGAATCCCACCACTCCCACAGGGCACCCTTACCTCAGATGGTAAGTGACCAGGGACAAGGGGGCGGGGATGGCGAATTAATTCTAGAAGAACATGACAAGTGTAGACCTGTCAAGTTTTCGTGTTTGTTTTCACAATCTTATCACAGAAATGACACATTTTGACATTGACAGCTTCTATGGATTAACAGTCTTAAGGGAGTTACAATGTCAGGCTTTCAGGGGAGATGTGGTATCTCTCTATACTACCATGCAACACAAAATGTTGTGGTAACGACCCAGCAGTTTCTGTACATGCTCCAATATTTGTAGAGAAGTAAATGATGTGGAGGGCGCAAATTTGACAGCTCATGTCTTGTTCAGATCCCACTTCCCATTCTCACAACTGTTTCAATGACGTTTTTCAAAACGCTGACAAAGTCCTTCTCTTTTTCCACATCTTAGTGACACAATGCCTCATAAACTGTTAAATAGCAATCTGTTATGGGGCCAGTATCATTGTGGGCACTGCAAAACTCGTGACAAACCCTCTGAAAACTAAAATAACAAATGGGACACTGTACAACTACTGTGCTGCTGAAGGTGTAGCATTTCCCCTGGTGGCACTACATGTTTCCCATGAAAGTGGCTCTGAGCCCTTATCCTTCTAAAGCAGGGGTCTCCAACCTTTTTTACATAACGGACCGGTTATATTTTGAAAATATTCTCGCGGATATATATTAGTGGTTCAACGGGTCATATTGTGGTTTTTGAGTCATGGATCGGAGGATTTTTCAGATAAACAAGAAAAAAACATTTAAAGCACAGATTGAGAATGCCGAGAAGGGTTTCTTTGACAATTTTATGTGTATGTATCTCAAAAGCAAGGACATGTGAAAGAGGAATCAACTCTGTATTCTCTCGCTGTCTGAAACATGTCTCTGTGCGTGAGCGTGCTTCGGGTGTGTACGGCTGCTGTGCACACCGGAAACAGCATGTGAGTAATGAATCAAGTTCTCTTTTGCTTCTTCTGCTTGTGGTTTAAAATCGCTTGAACTTGTAAATTGGCAAATTAATCTGCGAATCTCCGAACTGTGGGGCCTGGTCCATACGTTACGTATCATGGATCAACTGCGATCCGTTTAACCTCTAATATATGACAAATCAGAAAAATCATTCATTTACTAATTGAACATTTTAATTTACACTCCATAGCTACTCTATAGCAATCGCAAACAAAAATACAGAATAATTAGAACAATCTATAATCATTAACACGCAATAAATACAGACTGTCATACATATTTTTCCCAGAACGTTCTTGCGATCCAGTAGCAACACTTCCTTGGCCCGGTACTGGTTTGCGACCCAGTGCTTGGGGACCTCTGTTCTAAAGCATGAACACACAGCCAAGAACAGACTGCACAGTGTTGTAATGCCAAAAGTTACTGAGACAAATCTCAGAATCCTCCATTCCGCTCCTGCAGAATCCTCTCTGGCAGCCCATGAAAACAAAATATGAGCTCATGGATTCCTGAGTGCACATGTGAAAACATGCACCCACACAATCCTCCCAGAAAAAAAGTAGATTAAAGAAGGTCAGAGAAGAGAGAGATGGATAAACTGTTAGTCTAAGCTTGAACTGGGCTTCTTCTCCATAAATACATGTATCTGTCCAGTAAGAAGTGACGTCACACATAAGAACAAGAATATGCAACAAAATCTACAAGATACCCTCTTCAAGCACTTAACCAGCAAAAACATTTTTCTTCTTTCACACACATGCAGGATAGTGATGCTGCCTCTGTCAATAAATCTAAACTTGAAAGCAGTTTCCATTATATGTGTTCTGGCAAAAACTTCACTAGAAAAATGGAGCAAGCAGTTGTTATTATAGACAATAAAATTATTAGAAATAAGACAGACAGAGAGAGAATTTCATTGTCTGTGTAAGCAAGCACATACAGTGGGTATAGAAAAGAATCACCCCCCTTTAAAATAATCACATTTTGTTGCTTAACAGCCTGAAATGAAGACAGACCGTTTTTGTTTTATCCAGCTGTATTTACTCAGTGCAACTTATAACATCTAAGTGAAAGATATAACACCAACCCAAAGAAAACTTTCTTGAACCACCTTTTGCTTTAATTACAGCCTTTAGTCTGTTGGGATATGTCTCTGTCTCTACTAACTTTGCACATCTAGACTTCGCAATATTTACCCACTCTTCTTTGCAGAACCGCTCAAGTTCAGTTAAATTTGAAATGATCAATGTTAAAAAATATACCAATACAAAGTACGACAGACTTTTTTCCCAAGTCTTTATCACTTTATTAAATTATGCAAAACAAAATGACAATGTTTACTTTCATGAGCCGCAGCGTATTTACAAACTTGCAGTGAGAAGTTTAAAAGCTTACAGGCTTCCGTACGTCATCCACCAAAAACAAAAACTGTCTGTCTTCATTTCATGCTGCAAAGCAACAAAATGTGATTATTTTAAAGGGGGGTGATTCTTTTCTATACCCACTGCAAATGCATCCCACTAAGCACAATAATTCTGCAATTATCTGTGACTACTAAAAGACGAGAAGCATACTGTGAGAGCACATATGAAATTTTCATTCTGAGAGTTTAAAGTGTACAAAGAAAATGAGGCACACCAGGTGCAGCACTGTGACAGCACTTTATGTTTAGCTTAATGGCATAAACTTACGCAAGAAAATACTGTACTTCTATTATACAGCACTCAGCACTGCATATTAAGTAGATTTTGTTACAATTCCATTTTATTCACTTAGAAATCCTAGTCTTGTCTAAGTTTGTTTTCTCCCTCTCTCTGTTCTGCCATTCTTAGCACTATAAGGTCCACATTCATGCAGTCACTTTCAAGACCACATCCCTGCAAGGTTTTACAGCTATGTAACTGTCAGTGAAAGGCAATACCATAAAACACAACTTTACTGCACACACACTGGACTACATATGAAATACAGAGGGGGAATGATGTGTGTCTGTATTGGAAATGAAACATGTAAGTATATTAAATTAAAAGAAAATCATACATTTTGTAATCTGAGGGAGAGTCAAACCCATGCTTATTATGTGTTAAGTTACAAAGGCACAAGGTCAGCAGCCCTGTTCCAAAACTCAGTGAGCTACCTGGCTTTATACAGCCTACATAGGGAGCTACATTCTAAGGTCACATAACCTCATAAATGACTGATTTGAAATTATTTTTGAAACTCTCATATCTGATTTCAACTGGCAGAATGTTTCTAAGCTAATGACTCTCAGTACAAGCTTCCGGTGGGCAGCTTACTTGGTTTTGGAACGTAGCCAATGTCTTAAGAGAAGAGGGGAAACAAAAATGTGACTCATCTCAAGCTCCATGAGCACAATGGAAAACATCAACAATTTTCCAATTTTGACTTTGTCAGGAGTAGCACTTACACTTTGTAAGACCTCACACTTGGCAGGCCAAATATGCAGACGTGTGCGAGTGTGAGATGGTGGTTTTGGACTACAGCCTTTAGTGATAAAGTCTTGAGTAGGTGTATAAATATCACAACCACCAACCTCTCCAAACACAACTTCCATTGGTAGCTTTCTCCAATTCCCCTTCTCTCACACATACCCACAATTCATAATAAACAATCCCCACTGCTTATCCAGTAGATCTTCAGTCTCAAACCAAGACTTAAACAATGATAAAATCTCTCAGTTCCTGAAGCAAATGGCTCCAGAGTCCAGCCTCTCATGTGGCCAAGGCAACTCAATAGGGTCAGATTCTCTCGCGACTGACCGCTAATGACAGCTCAGTGTAGCCCACTTCACCCAGTACACGGGGAATTACAACCGCAGCTGACCAAAGCAAAACACTCTTATACCTCTGGGGTTGTACAGTACTACTTTTTGGCAGATGAAGATGTATCACTGCTGAAAAAAAACAGAAGCTGCTCAGAGAGTAGTCTTGGATGATTCTAAGATGCAGTTCTGTTTGAGGGTCCTCCTAGATTAAAGCAGAGAAAACGCCTACTCCCCCATTTTGCAGATGACTGCCACTCGAAGCCGCCCGGCACAATGCCTGTCTGTATGAGCTCAATGGCTGTCATTCATAGACAGGCGGTCAGGGCCACACTGGGACCTGGCTGGTTAATGCAGCTGTTTCAGCACAGCTAGAACTACTGAAGGACTTCCTCTCAACACAGGAAAACTCCTCTTATACAACATCCCAACCATACTGCCCAAAAGAGCCTTTGGCAAAAGGGAATCTCTCTTTCTTCCTCTCTACATCTCTGGCTCACCCCTATATGACTGATAATGATTTTAGCTTAAGCTCAAAGTAAAGAGGAAAAAGAAAAATGAACGGAAAATAACCAAAGGAAGAGGGAGTTGCACAAGGCCTGAGCTGGTGTCTGGGCATGGTAACTTCATCAGGACAGAGCAGAGTATTTATCATTCTGCCAAATCTGGAGTGCTGGGAGATCTTGTTCTCCGGGCAGAGACGACCAGCCCAGAGCACAGAAGACCCTGCAGGGAGAGCTTTCAGTTAAGACAACAGTGTCTCTCTATGGTCAGGAAAATTCCCTAAACTGATCCGAGACTTCTATGTTATGTGTTAAAAAGCCTGCAGGTTCAGACCACGATTAAGGCAACCTTAATAGCTACACGATGAAACCAGGTAGGCCTGTTCCAACAAGAGTGTTAACTAAAATGATACCAAGAGTGACATACACAACAACAGATGATAAGGTTATGTTCATTTTAAGCCGTTATAATGAGCTTTTCATTGTTTTAATTGTTCATCAGCTAGAAAAGCTTCTGAAAGTCCAACGTTATTGTTCCTCTGTGACGTTATCATTATAACTGTGGTGTGGACTTATTCTAACAGAATTAAATAATGGATTAAAACTTTTTAATTTAGTTACTGTCCATGGTGTGAGCGGGCTTTTAATCTAGCTATCACTAAAGAAAATGCAGTTCACAAGGGTTTTTTGATATTGTTGATAACAAAAAAGAGAAATGGGCATCAGGACGATAATTAAAATATATTCATTAAAAATACTGCTGAGGAAAATATGACAAAAAGGCAAGATATTAATGTACAAGCATTTTTGAAGAAAAAGAACAATAGTTTCAAATATTCCAATCGACCCACTTGAGCTGCATAAGTTTAATCAGACATACAGTAAACACAACTCACATCTGCACAAAATGACGCAAATGTACAAGAGAACCTAATTTATGTGCTAGTCAGACGCGGTCACATTGTGAATACAAACTGTCATTATCATTGTCATTGTCACTGCATTGGTCCAGATATGATATACATATATATTCTCTCCTCGTCTTCCTCAGGCCCATTCAGAGACTGTTTCCAGGTGCGACAGGCGGGACACAGCACCAGTGGGATGTATCTGTTGAAGGCAGAGGGCAGTGATAGACTGATTCAGGCCTGGTGTGAACATAAATTAGACAATGGAGGCTGGACCATTTTTCAGCGAAGGAAAGATGGCTCTGTCAACTTCTTCAGGAACTGGGAGAACTATAAGGTAAAGGCCCACAACACACCGACCAGAGCATGCTGAAGACCAGCGGACATGCAAAACTAAGACAATCAATTAGCAGTGAAGTCCTCTCTTTCCTGACTGTTTATCCAACTTAAGTGTACATTTCTGATAAGAAACAGGGAAATAGAGATACAGCCACAATGTCTGCATTTACATAACTGCTCCACATCCATCCTGTGAGCGTGTAAGTGAAATAGTATGATAGATGGAATGTGTGATGAGATTCCCAGTAAGGCCCAGCAGTGACTTACTGTCGGTCAGTGGTTCTCAAGTAACACCACAGACTTTTAGGGCAAACAGAGAGTTTTTCATACTCTTACTACTGTATACCACTACACTACATACCGTATTGACCTGAATATAAGACGATGTTTTTTTCTTGGAAATACATCTGAAAAAACGTCGTCTTATATTCAGGGTCTAGACTTTGACATGTCAATAATACACCCACAACAATAGGTGGCGCCAAATACGCATAAAACGAGTGTGCCATGAAATATGTAATGTAATGCGTGTTGTAAAGATCGCGAGTAAAAATAAAAGAAAAAGAAAACCTTACAGCTGCATGAGTCGTGACTGTCACGTTAGCCTGATGGGACCAAACTCCCTTTGTGATTTTAAAGCGTAAGACAGTACCCAGATTTGAAGACTACAGTAAGATTTAACTTCTACTGTTAATAAGATTTTGGTAGGCTACTATTAGATGGATAGCCTAAATGTCCTAATTCAGATGGGCTACCTGTTTTTTTTCACAAAATGTGTTTTACTGAGAAAAACAAGATTTGGTTTTTAAAAAGCCTTTTTTCCAAAAGGTACATCTGGAAAAAGGGGGTCGTCTTATATTCGGGCCAATACGGTAATACAAAGATATATTTTAAAAAAATCCAAGCTATGTATTTCACAAAAACATTTTCTTCAGCATTCAGCATTAGGGCTGAACAGAAAAACCTTTAGTCTGGGAAACCAAATAACTATAGCTGTGATGTATAGGAGGCTTGTAGAAACAAAGCACATAATTCAATCCTTCATGTCCCCCAACATCTATCTTAGAGGTCAATGAGTATGCATTTTTCATAACTAAATCTCAAAATCGGTGTTATGTGTTCATAATATGACGTATCTTCAATTGAAACAAGGTATTCAGACAAAAATCCAGGGCTGAACTAGATTTCATTTGCTGGGAGATGAGTGGATTTTCTAAAGTGGATGTTAAATATCATAACAGAGCCAAACCAATTGTTAATTTGTTAAAACGGTTGGTCAAGATTATCCAATAGCCAGTGCAGCCTAAATGATGTCAGAGATAAAGTTGTTTCAGAGCAAAATTAGTAAATCATTACATTTTAAATTAAAGATTCAGAATTCAGAAATCGGCTTCCTTTTAATTAATGAGTTTAAATTTAAAGTGAATTGGTTGTGCCAAACAGGAAGTGGAATTGGAATTAAAGGAATTGGAATTTAATTAATTAATTATAAATAAATAAATGTAAATATTTGTATGTAAGGCTATAACATTAGGGCTGAACAGAAAAACCTTTAGTCTGGGAAACCAAATAACTATAGCTGTGATGTATAGGAGGCTTGTAGAAACAAAGCACATAATTCAATCCTTTTCCAAGAGCAATGGACCGAAAACGAACATTTTCCCCCTTTACACTGCTGAAATCAGTGGAAAAATGCAGTTATGCTTTTATAAAGTAGCTCTCAAGGTCTGTCCTGGGAGTGTGACTTCACCGATTTAGTCAAAGTTGAGTGCCAGATGAGTGAACTGTAACTCCAGAGTTGAAGGCCTACTACAAAAATATACCTCAAAACCTCCTCACTGACACAAATGAAATGAAAACAAGTAGAATAACTGCACACAGTTGGGGAAGCACACATAAATCCACTAAACACGCTTAAGACTTAGATTAACTATTTCCACTGAAGAAAAGATCAAACTTCTCTGTCACATACTCTGTCTCTATTACGGTTTCTCTCATTCCCTCCCTCCTTCTCCCACACAGAAAGGCTTCGGGAACATAGATGGAGAGCACTGGCTGGGCTTGGAGAACATCTATAATCTAGCCAAGCAGGGGGACTACAGATTGCTGGTGGAGCTGGAGGACTGGGCTGGAAAGAAGGTGTACGCAGAGTACAGCAGCTTCCATCTGGAGTCGGAGAGTGAAGCCTTCAGGCTGAGACTGGGCACCTACCAGGGCAATGCCGGAGACTCCCTCACAAGCCACAATGGAAAACCCTTCACAACGCTTGACCGGGATAAAGATGCCTTTACAGGTTAGATGCTAACAGCCAGTTAAAACGGGACAAAAAAACCCCAAAAAACTGTCCATAGCTACAAGGGTTGGGTAGAATGGAATGGAAGAATGTAAGAATTTGCTTCTTTTCAATTCATGAGTTGGAACTTAAATTGAATTGACCAAATTGAATTTTACTTCCTTAAATTCAAACTGAAATTCTGCATCCTGTTTGCTTCCAAATCAAACTCAGTAATTGAACTGGGATATAAAAAGCATTTGCAATTCAATTCTGAAGGTTACACAACCCTGATAGCTCCAAAGCTATTAATGTCACTATAGATTTGATTGCTGGTGACGCTTGGTTTGTTTCAGAGGTCCTGTTTAAACCTTGCATAAAAGGCTTAGACTAGTCTTACAAGTTAGTCATCTATTTTTTTTTCTTTAAGACTGGTCAGAACTTAAAGTTGGTTACATAAAAATGTAGATTGGTCTAATCGGAGTCCAAAAAATAAGACTAATTACCCCTTGGCTAATTGCTAATTGGTCAGACTAGTTCTTAAGATGTAGTCTTAACATAGTTTATGCAACTGGCCTCTGGTATTAAGATGCATTTTCTTCGTTCCAATCACAAGTGGACAGCATTAAATACAAGTGTAAATGGGGTCTAAAGTGTTTTGAGCTTGTCCACTTCCAGCTAACTGGACTGGATTGCTTTAGTAGTGTAGACGCTTACTGTATGTGGTTGAATGCGTTCGAACAGCTACAAAAGACTACCCACTGACCTAACACATGAGTGTTATGGAATGTGTTTTAAGTGCATCAAAACAATCAATTCCAACTTCACTATGTTGTGCCAGATGTAAACGGCCAGCAAAAAACTGCACTTGAGTTCAGTTGATAAGGGTTGGCTGATGTTCAAACTATGTTTTTACAATCTGAAAGTGAAATATTACTGATTATTACATATTTTCGGTGACAAACATCATTTGGTAGTACTCACACTGATGACAAAAGCATGAAAAATATTGGGGTGTGAAACCACTAAGTGAAAGCAAATCAAAAGGGGTATAATCGAATGCATCGAATATAATCGGGTGCATAATCATATCGGTTCCAACACGATCAATAGCTTCTAAAGTGTTCTGTCATTCCAACTCATTGTGTTCTTTTCCCCATCTTCTTCTATCCCAGGCAACTGCGCTCATTTCCACAAAGGTGGCTGGTGGTACAACGCGTGTGGTCAAACGAATCTGAACGGCGTGTGGTACTCCGGCGGTGTGTATCGCAGCAAGTTCCAGGATGGGATCTTCTGGGCAGAGTATGGAGGCGGGTTCTACTCGCTCAAATCAGTCCGTATGATGATCCGGCCAATAGACTGAGGTTCACCCCAAGACCTCACCCTCATATCAAACCCGATTGAGTCTAAATTGCTTGAATGTACTCATAATTCACTCCAGCACTTATTTATAATCACACATTCATGTTTATGAGGACTGACATGTATAGCACAGTACAGTCGTCATTGGTACAGCACCGATAAAAATCATGAAAAGGAGGAGTGGAAGGACATGCGTTTATCCAGACTTGTACACCAATGTCCTCTGGTCCATCCAAATGCAGAGAAGACGAACTAGTAAGAACTAAAAGTTGGAGTTGGACGACAACACAGTCAACTTCAGCATCTCCATCTCTTACATTTTTCCTTTACTGTCGTTCTTACATTCCTCTCCACTGCAGTATCTTCACTGCTGTCCGTTCCTTCTGATTCTCCATTATTGCTTGGACTGATGACATCAAAGCCTCAATCGCAGGTTTTTAATCAAAGATCTTCGCAACTAAGCAAATGTTGGCCTCTGGCTTTGGAGGTGTGTCTGTAACAATAAGGACTGGCACTGGGCTGAACTGTTCACCAGGCCCCATCTGCATTCGGGGGTAATGTTGGTCTGTAAATATACTTCATGTTTTATATTTGTTCGTTTTTGTAAGAGTTAATTTAAGGACTCACCACCAATCCGCAGTATTCATTTGCTATTTATATATCGGTGATCTGTATTTATGACAGTTATACGCCTCCAATCATCTATTTATCCCCAATTATGAGGCACCATTGTGATTTTGACAAACATTTGTATACTTTTACCAACAAAGAGAGAATATTACATTCGACTCCAGGGTTGTACTCACCGTGGAAACTGAAAGGGACATGTCCCCCAACATCTATCTTAGAAGTCAATGAGTATGCATTTTTCATAACTAAATCTCAAAATCAGTGTTATGTTGTTCATAATATGACGTATCTTCAATTGAAACAAGGTATTCAGACAAAAATCCAGGGCTGAACTAGATTTAATTTGCTGGGAGATGAGTGGATTGTCTAAAGTGGATGTTAAATATCATAACAGAGCCAAACCAATTGTTAATTTGTTAAAACGGTTGGTCAAGATTATCCAATAGCCAGTGCAGCCTAAATGATGTCAGAGATAAAGTTGTTTCAGAGCAAAATTAGTAAATCATTACATTTTAAATTAAAGATTCAGAATTCAGAAATCGGCTTCCTTTTAATGAATGAGTTTAAATTTAAAGTGAATCGGTTGTGCCAAACAGGAAGTGGAATTGGAATTAAAGGAATTGGAATTTAATTAATTAATTATAAATAAATAAATGTAAATATTTGTATGTAAGGCTATAAAACACATTGAAGGCCTATAGACTTTTTATAACTTTCAGATATGGCTTTAAAAAGTCTTGATAAACCTTTGCGACAGTTGTAGTTATAATATATGAATTTCTTTTAATTATAATTCATTTTAATTCTACTTCCTAAAAATTTAATTCGAATAGCAATTCTGCATCCTGTTTGTGATAGAGCAAGTAACACTTCAAGTAAGGAGCAAGATGAACAGATTATACTACATATATTATTATACATTTGAATTATGTGCAACAATGAATTGGTCAGAGTAAGACCATGAATGATAATAATGAACATAAAAGGGGTCAGTTTTGATTTTTCATTTGGTTGCCCAATCTTCAATATTTGGTTACACCACTGACTGGCTCACAAACACACATGCAAAGCCAGAAAAACAAACAAACAAAAAAACCTTTGAACTTCATAGAGCTGTAGAATTTATGCTAGACTTCCCTCATAAATATACACAAATACAGACACAAACATACTCGTCTCTGTAGTCTCTGGTGGACACACTTATGCCTGAATGTAATTGAACAAAATTTTTGTGTAAATGATCTCAGAATCCACTCTGAATAAAACAGCGTCCAAAAGTCTGAGTGAAACTTTTTCTGCATAATATATATGGAGTCACGGCAGGTTTTTCAGTTACATTTTTCTGTAATATGAGCAAAAGAGTGTGTGAGTGTGTGTGTGTGAGAGTGTTTGAGACTGTAAGAAACAGAGATTTCATGTCAAAAGTATGCAGACGTGAAAATGGGAGGACTACAGCACATAGAGACAATGAAAAACACATTTCTACCATCCAGTCACGAATGGAGGTGAGATAGACCGAGACGAGAGAGAAAGAAAGAGAGGGATCCAGAGGGAAGGAGAGAGAGAGAGATGGAGACAAAAGAGCAAGACATTCCTTCCATATAAAGTGCTTAGGTTACAGCTCCACAAAAGTGTATTTCATAAAAGTTATGCCTCCCTGTTCCCGGCTTCCCCAGCAGGACTATCTTTCAAAATGTCCTTGATCACTCACAGCCAAGCATCTAATTCTATCAGGAAAACACAGACACATGCACTCAGAGAGGAGAGAAAGACACTGGCAGATGAAGTTTTGTGAGCGGCCTGCATGCTAAGACGTTCTAAAGAGCTTCTGTCTGTTTCCGAGCGTGCATCTCCCCATGGGACACAGAACACAGGCTTCACACTTTCGCTCGTGTGGCACATCAGAGTAAATACTAACACTTAGACAACAAGTGGAGTCACAATCCAGCCATAAACTTGTTTTTTTTTTGGTCCTATAAAAGCTTTAGTTGGATAGAGACTGAAGACCACTAAAATCATCAGGCGTGAAAGTGGTAAATTTAAGTTTTGGCACGTCACACACTGTTAGCTTCGGAAAAGTCATTGTGCAGACAACTATTCTTTACTAAAAGTTTCAATGAACCATGTAATATAAAATCTGGTCATGATTTGGCTTGATCCTATTCAGTGGCAATATCATTAAAAACATTTTTGTTAATTAAAATAAAAACATTAGATGAAAAACTTAAACTTAACGAAAATGAGAACCGAACTAAAAGTACAACTGAAAATAAATAAATGAAACCTAAACAGTACTTAAAATAGTGTCAAAAACGAATAAATAAATAGTAATAATAAAAAAAAAACATACCATACTTGTAATATAACATGACTAAAAATTAAACAAATTATATTGAAAACAATAGATGTTACAGTGGACATGAACTGAGAAATCAAAATTATCTCGATCGTTTGACATATAAGAGGTAGTTGTACTATAAAAACATCCTGTGAGTTTCAGAACTCAAAACTTTCTTGTTTGTCTAAAAACAGCTTATATTGAAGCCAATCTGCCAAAACAGGTTGTGTAAATAGTAATAATAAAAAAAAAACATACCATACTTGTAACATAACTAAAAATTAAACAAATTATATTGAAAACAATAGATGTTACAGTGGACATGAACTGAGAAATCAAAATTATCTCGATCGTTTGACATATAAGAGGTAGTTGTACTATAAAAACATCCTGTGAGTTTCAGAACTCAAAACTTTCTTGTTTGTCTAAAAACAGCTTATATTGAAGCCAATCTGCCAAAACAGGTTGTGGAATGTGCCACTTTATGACATAATAGTGTGGCTAAACACCGCCTCCACAGAAGATGATCAACACCTGCTTCTATATCACTGCCTGTTTAGCCCCGCCCACCGATTAGTGCACGTAGTGTAAATAACGAGAGAGGCAAACACATGTCTATTAGGCTTGCCGCGATAGACGGTGCTGACGGTGATACCGGTGTTAAGCCGCAACACCGGTTACATCACTTGCCCACGGCGTCGCCGACCCCCACCGTCGTTTTGATTTTTTATAGTAATAAAAATCATTTAGTTCAGTAAAAGAACAGACACTACAATTAAAAACTGAACTTTGAAAGCGAAGAAAAGAGGGAAACTCAAACGAACTAACACCCCCCACTCCAACGGTGATACGGGTATTACCGGTGTTGTCACACGTCAATTAACCGTTGGGAAAATTTCCTCACCATCACAACCCTAATGTCTATGCAGAAATCAAACGATAAAGATGGCTACAAAGACAACAAGACGCTGTTCAGTGCCAAGTTGTGGAAAAACACAGTCTTTGCATTGCCTTCCTTCTGATCCCAACATCAGGAAAGTGTGATCAGTGGACGAACTGTCTTTTTAATGAAGTTCCAGACTGCATCAGCAAGAACTTGGCTGTTTGTTTACCGCGGATTCATTTACAAACAAGGCACAATTCGATGCAGGATTTTCAGAACGACTGAAAATAAAAGACGATGCTGTGCTGAATATATTGGATCCGAATAATGTCTTGAATAAAATATGCCTATTTTCCAATGCTTCTCTTTCTTTTTGGCATTATCGCCTGTGTAGACATATTTCATGATGGCAAGTTTAATATCCTTAATTATAACAATTGCAGCGTTGTTTTTAAACTTGTAGACAAGCTATAACGTATTTGATATTTATCATGTTGGCCTATGACTAAAATCATGCAGGGATTAAAAACTAATTTTGAGCAAAAACGTTAAAGTTTTTTTTTTCCCTTTCTGGTAGCCTACTACGGAGGTCTCTTTTGGCCCATTGTAACGAAATAAAAATAACTGCTTTATTTATTTAGAAGCAGTGTAATTTAAATTTCATTTTTGTATTGTAATTTTTATCATTTTTATTTTATTAATCAAAATACAACGCCCACAATATAATATTCAGTGTTGGGCTGCCGAAACTCCGAATGAGTGCGAGGGCGAGCGTCGAAGCCTAAAAAAAGTCTTCATCCGTTGAATGAATTAAGTAAGGGATAATGCACATCCAGCCGGTTGTTATCTCAGAATAAACCCCGACAGGGTGATCAGCCTGAACAACCGGCTGGATGTACATTATCCCGCTTATTACATGGCTACTTGCCACATAAGTAAATAATTAGACGCGAAATATTGATTTGAGTTGAAATATCTGAATGCAAAGCTTCCATGAAGACAGCAGTTACGAGCAAGTGGCAAATTCAAACTAGACGGACATTTAAGGGAAACGGTGCAGTCAAACCACTTATTACACAACATTTCACCACAAAAATAAAGGCAATAAAAGAATTAAGACGAAAATGTTTTAAAACCTTACCAGTTTGTTAGTTCTCTTATAATCCATTACAGCGTACAAAACAATCGTAGCAAAATGGCAGCAGCTGCATTGGTATGAAACGAGACAGTGCTACTTTTTGTCTTTTTTCTGTTTAACTTTTATTAAACGGCAGATCAAAATAGAAAAGGCATATACCCTAAATAAGGATAAATTATATTGGAATCTCCAAAATAATCGCATACACAGATGCACGTTGCCATTACAGTAGTCAGTGCCGAACAACAGGCAAATAAAATATAAACTGAGGTTACAAAAGTGATTCAGTCAAGATCAGTGAGTGATTTTCGTTTATTTTGTTCTTTGATTAACATTATAATGAATGGCGGCAGCGGCTGCTGTCTATGCATGGATCCATACACCCTTGTTTTCTTTCTCAACTCTTTTAAGACATAACCGATTGTATTTATGGGATATTTTGATATAATTCTGTGTGTATATGTCCATTTGAATGTGTAAGAATGTGAGAAAGAGAGCTCAGTCCAGTGTTCGCGTAGGCTATATAAGAGGCGGCTTTTGTGCATGTGCGTGTGTGTGTGTGCTCAGCGCGGAAAACAGCGCGCGAGTGCAGAAGTGAGTTCTATTTCATCTTCTTGCAGTTGAATCTTTTGAAATCACAATAAATGTGCATACAGGAATCGAGAAGCAGAATCAAAATTTAATTTTATAAGAAGTAATTTGATTCCTGACCTTACGCATCTAATCTGATTTCCAAAATTGGAATAGCTTTTCAATTGCCAACCCTCCTACTAAATTGTTTCATTCTTGCATGCAAAAAGACTGTATGGTTACTATGGGGATTATTTCATTCTTGCATGCAAAAAGACCTGTATGGTGACTATGGTCCTATGTAAAATATTTTTTGCAACTTACTAGGTTCATCATTTGTCTTTTTTCCCCCGATAATGTCGATAATCGTCTGTTACCTGACTGCTGACATAGACATCGCGATACTTATGAGACATCGTCGATATATGATAATATCGTCATATCACCCAGCCCTAGTACACACGTACACACAACACACACACACACACACGCACACGCACACACCTATGTGCATCCAGCTGGAAGCTTTAGTGCTAGTGTTTTCAGTAGGGAAATCCTGTTATTACAAAACAGACAAACCATTTGGACGCTGACCCAATCCTTTATCTCATCTTCCTCTCAATAGATTTCCAGACAGTTTTTCTCACATTCAGACTGTGATGAAGCCGTCTGGATGTGCTCAGAGCCCACCCCCCACCTGAACGCTTTCATAACACACCACAAATCACCGTCTTTGATTGTGAAAAGAGCAAAGACAGAATTCACCAACAATGAGTTAGGGTCATTTATATGCATAGTCTGTGTAGTTTTAGCACCAGACTCACTAAAAGAATTATGAAGATCAGGCACATTATTTGCATGGGACAATGGCACATCTTGCAAGCCAGCCTGCGTGTTAGGTTGTGAAAGATGCAGCAGACTACTACAGCTTGGCATACTTTTCTGTACAACAACTGTACAACATCACAAACAAAGCAAAACAAAACAAAACAAAGATGAGATAAAAAAAACAAAAAAACAAAAACAAAAGGAAACTAAGACATAATAAAACAAAACACAACCCAACACAATATAAAACAATAAAAACTAAATAAATCAAAAACCAAACAAAACCAAGACAAGATAAAACACAAAACAAAGCAAAGCAAAACTAAGCTAAAAAAAAGCTAAGTAAACCAAAACAAAGCATAACAAAGCTAAGCAAAACTAAAAGCAAAGTGAAGCAAATCAAAACTAAATAAAGAACAAAACAAAATTAAAAGCAAAGCAAAACAAAGTGAAACAAAGCAAAACTAGAAGCAAAGCAAAACAACTCGAAGAAAAGCAAAACTAAACAAAGCAAAGCAAAACTAAGAAAAGCAAAGCAAAACAAAACTAAACAAAGCGAAGCAAAGCAAAACAAAGTGAAGCAAAGCAAAACTAAAAAAAGCAAAGATAAACGAAGCGAAGGAAAGTGAAGGAAAGTGAAGCAAAGCAAAGCAAAACAAAGCGAAGCGAAGCAAAACTAAACAAAGCAAAGCAAAACAAAACAAGGATAGGCTCCAACATCCCCAAAACCCTATGTAGGATTTAAAGGGGTCATATGATGCAATTTCAAATTTTCCTTTCTCTTTGGAGTGTTACAAGCTGTTCGTGCATAGATAAGATCCCTAAAGTTGCAAAGACTAAAGTCTCAAACCCAAAGAAATATTCTTTTTCAGAACAATGGGCTTTGTAAAAATCGACACATTTCAGAAAGGCGGGGCATAGAGGAGCAACAATAATGTACATTATGTGGAAAATAATGTGTTTTTTGAACATTAAACCGCATAAACACATTGCATTACATTAAATACACAACATAATGTTCTTTTTAGCAACGTCATATGACCCCTTTAAGAAGAAACTAGATTACTGAAAAGGGGGGATTACTATTTAATGATTATGAAATATAACACATACAACACTGCTGGGCTGTTAATAATAGCTACACTGCAATATATATATATATATATATGGCTACTGTAACATAAAATAACTATAATACAATATTTTGGTCATACCGCTCTCCCCTAAATTATACTACTGTCAGGTGAAAGGCAGGTTTTGCAATCATCTATGGAAAATACACTTAATCCATAAAAAGCAAGACAGATGGACAGACAAAGGGAGGGGGTGAAAAGAACATCCAGCAGGACAAAAGAAACTGTTTTAGCATTACGGCCAAATCTGAGAACACAAGAGATTCTTCAGTTCTGTGGCTCAAATTCCTCCATATACATTTTACTCTTTTTTTTTTTTCTTTGAACAGATTTACAAGGTGAGTGACTGGCAGTTCTTTAATGCAGTTCAGACCTCATGTTGTACAAGAGAGCAGTACTTTCCTCTCTGCCTTCCAAAGAGTCAGGGAGTCCTCCAGCCCCATACCAAACACACCAGGGTAAACGCATGTAAACATGACATACATAAAGCACCAAACGGTCGGTCCTGTTTGGAGTAAGAAATTTGGTTCTGTTCGTATAGAGTTCAGCTATAAACAAGATTGCATTCGGTTAAATGGATAATTCAACCAAACATGAATATTCTGTAATCATTTACTCACCCTCATTGTTTCAAACCTGTATTACATTCTTTCTTTCCCAGACTTCATAAGAAGGTACTTTTGAGAAATGTCAAATTTGTTTTGTTTTGTTGTTTTACCACTGTTTTTACTGTATTTTTGATCAAATAAATACAGCTTTGGTGAACATAAGATAATTCTTTCAAAAACATGGTAATTTATATTATATTATATTATATTGTTCTGGCAGCATTTTAATTGTTTACAATATATTGTATATAAACCATTATTTATTCACTATTATTATTTGCGAATACATAAATATTGGGATAAAATGCATAGTGGGATATATGTGCGTATAAAGAAAGTTAAAGCAACTGCGCTGTTTACTTGTCTCACTTATGCTTTTCTCTTGAAATGTGCAATATAAAATGGTGCTAACAGCTGTCAGATATGATTGAAACAGGTTTCATGACAAATCGCAACTGCCCTTGTAACAGCCTTAGGAGGGCAGCCAGTGATTTCTCTGCTAGTCAATCACTTTGCACAATGTCAACAAATAATGGTGTTGAGAAAATGTAAACTCATAATTAATCGCATGTGTCAACGTGCTAATTTTGACAGCTCTAATTTACACAGAAATAATAAACACAAACAATGAAACAAGCTCGAAAGTCTGCTGTTTAGTACAAATCATCCACAAGGCATCCCTAGAACTCTGAGGACATCTAAACCAGAAAAAATGTAATTAAAAATCAAAATTGATTAAAATGTCTGCAAGACATGTGGTGGTGTGAGGATGTATAGCAGACTGGAAAAAGGTCTCCCTAAAAGGTTATGTTTTGTGTGTGCAAAGAAAAAATACCCAGATACGGGATGCAGGATGTCATGCTCTGGCTGCTGATGAAATCTCTCAAGCGTTTATAGTTGTCTTCTTTAGACATCAGATACTCCAGCCTCTCAAACGTGGCCTTGTCCTTTCGACTCAAAAGCTGTGGGAAAGGAGAAAAAGTTACACATTTGTAACAAAAACAATGATTTCTGATTATATCTGCCTTTTTAGGTTTGAACAGTGTGTATTTTAAAGGAATAATCTGGGTTCAATACAAATTTGGCTTTATCATCAGCATCTGTGACAAGTGCAGCAACCCTCAGTAGACAACATTCAGACATAGATCAACATTTTTTTGTATGTTTTATCAAGTCGGCATGTGTTTCTAGACAGACAAACATTGAATAAATCAGGCTCTAAATCATCTAAATGGACTCAGCTGTAAACAATCCAGGCTCTAACAACAGATCTCAAGAGCGCTGATTTTTAGTGTCTGTGCTCAGCATCTCTATCATACTCCAGTAATCATTCACAGTTAATGTGATTTGTTTGTTTTCCATTTATCAACCATTTGGCAGAGCAATCGTAAACATAATTGCATTTGGGATGGCGTAAAATATCTCCACCTGACCAAAACAAGAGAAGAAAAAAAATTGAAAACTAATGTTTAGTGTCTAGTAATGTTCTCAGCAAAAACAAAAGTGGGTGAAACAAAGGCAGCAAACAGAGGTAAGATTAAATAAGAGCTCTGCAAACAAAGGAAAAGCTGATAGCGCTGAAATTAAATCCAGAGTACCACACAGTAAATTCAAACAAACCTAACCAAATTAAGAGCCACTTGATGTCGCCTCTCACACACACACACACACGTTCTCCCAAAAAAAAATCTGTCTGCAGGTCTGTGTGGAGATTAAATTTTTGCAAATGTCCCCAGAAGAATAGCAAAAACTTCTTAGCAGGAAGTTTGTAAATGGACTAAATGTCATTCAGTAATCATTAACTAGAATTGGTTTATTTTATACATTAAGTGTAAATAGGCAGAACCCACAAGGATGTAACAGTAGGGTCTAAAAGTCACCACACTGAAAATCTGGGTTGCAAAATCTAATTTAAACCTGTACATTTATAACAAAGAACCATTATGACACAGAATTAAACATTTCAGATTCTGCACTATTTCCAGGTTGGTAATTTGTAACAGTAATCAAGTTTCCAGCCACTTTTGTGCTGTTCTGTTATCAACAAATAAAAAGTTTATAAAAAGTTTGTGTAAAAAATACAAGTGTTTCCAAACTAGTTTTTTTGCAGCATTTGAAGCACTGACATAGAATTTGTGCTAAAGTTAAAGGGACAGTTCAACCCAAAATTCTGTTATTTTTTTACTCACCTTTCACTTGTTACAAACTAGGGCTGCACGATAAATCGCATGCGATATTTAACGCGCATCTTATCAGTAAAGCCGGTTCTGTAATCAGCGGTAAATCTCCATCATGTGCGTGCTTTCACATTGAGCAGCATTAACTACACAGAGCCGTTGTTCACTGACGAGCTGCGCAAAACCACGTTCATATTCGTGCGATTTTTTGCGCAGCTCGTCAGTGAACAACGGCTCTGTGTAGTTAATGCTGCTCAACGTGAAAGCACGCACGTGATGGAGATTTACCGCTGATTACAGAACCAGCTTTACTGATAAGATGCGCGTTAAATATCGCATGCGATTTATCGTGCAGCCCTATTCCAAACCAGTATGTGTTTCATTCTTATGTTAAACACAAAAGAAGATATTTTGAAGAATATTCATTACATATTAGTCAACATTTTGGTTACTTTGGTTTGTACTAACTATGACATTCTACTAACTATAAGTAACTTTGCAACTACATGTTAACTAATTCTCATTAGAGTATTAATAGACTATTAGGTTAGGCCTAGAGTTGGACTATCAAAATAAAGTGTTACCTATATTAAACCTTTTTTCACCCAAAAAATCTTTGGGCTACTGATCATGTAAATTCATTTTTGAACAAAAGGTCAAATTTCCTTCCACTGATGAAAATCATGTTGAATAATACGATTTATAATGTAAAATGTTTCATTCAATTACAAAAACGCCAAATAAAAGAACGTTCAGAGCCCACTATACAGGATTGTGTTTGGCCGTGTCTGAGGAAAGCTAGTCTGAGAAGCCATGGAAAACACAGATCTGACAGAAAAAGCGGGGGAGAGGAATATTCCAGTTATGTAAAAGACTGAAAATGGTACACTAGAGACACAATTGAGGAGGAGGATGTTGGCTGTGACTGAAGACAAGACAAGGCAATGTTTCCAAATAAAACACAGATACACCAAGCTGCTGGATAGAATGATCCTTAGAAAAGTGTACCACAGCAACCATAGTTCCTCTCAAAATACAAATAAATACAGTTTGCACATGCAAAAGTCACCACCAAAGTGCGAGGATGTTGTTGGTGGCTGCCAAAGCATTGTCTTGTGGCTCCTAAAACGTTCAGAATTGCATATGTGTTGCTAGGGTATTCTGAGCGGTTTTAGTGCATTCTATGAAGTCGCTTGAGTGTTCCAGGTGGTTCTTTGGTGGTTTTGTACTGGCCCAAGAGAGCAAAACTAAAACTAAAATAGAAAGAGTACTTTTTAAACACTGAAAAAGTGACACTTCTCATTTAAGTTGATTTTACAGTAGCAAGAATAAAACGCAGTATCTTTGAGACTTTCGTAATAGACAACACAATATTCACCAAACAGGTGTCTGTTTTATGATAGCTGCCCTATTTTAGAGTAGAAAAACACGAGCGTTTGGGAAACCCTGGTATTAGCTTTAGGTTTAGTGCAGTCTATTGATCTTTCAAGAAACTGAGGTGGTTCGTTTATAAGGATGTCGTTAACAACAAATTTTCCTTCATTAGAAAGAAAGTAAATATTCACGCAAGCACCATCATTTTATGCTAGTTTAATAAATTATAAGGGTACAAAAATCTCTACCACTATTGAGTGTGTTCAAATGGAGGGTATCATGTTTGGGAACTGAAATGCATGATTTAATTTCAGTAAAGACTGAAAGGGGAAAAAAACTAAACAGAGTTCCTTGTTGTTCATCAATCAAAATATTGGAAAGAAACAGCTCAAGGTTTCATAGTGATTCATTTGTTTGCAGCTTCCAGCCCGCATCAGTAACTAACTGAGAGTGTGTCGGAGGCCTGGATAATTTCACAACCTATAAACACACATGAAAACCAAGTCTAAAGAAATTTGGACATATGCAACAGCTGGGTTGGACAACATGATAATGAATGAACCAAGCACTCAACTGACCCAAAAACCCACAAGATGCTTTGAAAAAATTAAAACAAAAAAGAAAAAAAATATTAAAAATAAAATAAAATGTCTTGACGCTAGACTCTGCTGGTGTAAGACAAAGCCATTTTATAAGAAAAACAATGAAAAATGTGCTTAAAATGTGCACAAAAAAAAAATCACTAATAATTACCAACTATGTTTTAGCAAGTAATTGAAAAACTAATATGCAAAATGTTAATAAGGAGTGTATTAAATAACTCACAGCCCAGGTCTTGGTGAGCCTGAAGATGGGGGCGCTCTGTAAAGCAGATACTACTGCCATCACTGCATGGAGATTGTTCATGTCACACAGTTTCTGCAGGAAGACAGAAAGAAGGTTAGCAACTAGTATAATCACTTAGGTAGTACAAATGTGCTGTATGGAGTGTTTTTACCTTTGCTGTTCTTATATAGAGGCTCAACACTTCTGCTCTGATCTTCAGAGTCTGAGCATGAAGAATCTCCCTCACCACCCAGAAACTCACCTAACATTAGACAAAACCATAAGACAGACATTGATAACTGATCGATACTGCCATAGTCAATATATTGTTATTCAGCAGACTACACTACAGTTAAACTTAAATATGTTTGGGCTGGAGAAATGTACATGTAAACCCATTAGTCACAAGTGCAGAGACACTGCACCAGTAGGGTCATACGCATTTAACAGACACACGCCTGATCATAACTAGTTTTGACTATGTGTAGTAAACAGAAAGAGAAAAGACAAGGTACAAGACACAAGACAAGAAGTAGAGAGAGATGAGACTGGAAGAGAAGAGAGAAGATGAAAAGAGATGAGACTGGAAAATAAGAAACAAGACCAAGAAGGGCGAGACGAAGTGAGACGAGAAGAGACCAGGTGAGACGAGACGAGAATGTGAGAAACTGACATGAAAACAGACAACATGAGACAAAATAAGAATGTGCAGAAAAGGCAAGAAGCAATGATAAGATAATGAAAGGAGACGAGACTGGAAAAAAAAAGACTAGATGAGAATTGAAGAGATAAGAATAAAATAAAATAAGAGGGTACAAAAAAAAGATAAGACAGAGAGAGGAAACAAGATGAGACAAGACAACAAGAGATGAGAACTGAAGAAAAGAGAATGAGAGCAGGTGACAAGCATGGAAAAAGGAAAAAGAAGACAATTAAAGAATAAGAGACAAGGAGCAAATGCAATTACAAGAGACAAGACAAGAGACAAGAGACAAAATAAGGAGGGACAAGATGAAGAGACTAAGTGAGACAAGAAGAAAATGAGTGGATAGAAGGAAAAACTGAGAATTTGATGAGAGTGGAAGAGAAGAGACAAGACCATAAAGGGCTAGATGAGAAGAGAAGAGGTGGGATAAAACAAAAAAGACAGAGGAGACAAGTAGAGATGAGTGGAGAATGAGAGGAACTGACATGAAAAGAGACAGCATAAGGAGAATGTGCAGAGATGAGACAAGAAGCAAAGAGAAGAGAACAAGAGGGGACGAGACTGGAAACTGGAACAAAAGTGACAACCCAGAATAGAAGAGACAAGATAAGAATAAGAATAAATAAAAGAACACAAGAAGAAAAGAGAGTGAGAGGAATTGAGATGAGAAGAGACAAGACAAGAAGAGAATGAGAGATGAGAACTGAAGAGAAGAGAATGAGACAAGATGACAAGCATGGAAAAGGGACACAAAGACAGTGAGAGAAGAGAAAAGACAAGACGAGGAAGAAACACAATTAGAGGAGATGATGCTGTAAGAGAAAAGACAAAATGAGAAGGGACAAGTTGATAAGACTAGGTGAGACAAGAAGAGAACAAGAGACGGAATGCAAAGCAAATGAGTGGAGATGAGAATAGAAGAGAAAAGGCAAGACAAGGCCATGAACTGCGAGATGAGAAAAGACAACGTGAGTCAAGAAGCAACTGATGAAACAACAAAGCAAAAAGATTAGAAGAGAAGGAGAGAATCTGAGTGACAAGAGACAACATGAGACAAGGAGAACATGTGCAGAAGCAAAGAGAAGAGAACGAGAGGACATGAGACAGGAAACTGGAAGAAAAGCAGCAAGACAAGAATACAAGAGACAAGAAGAGAACAAAAGAGAAGACAAGAAGAAGCTTGAGAAGAACTGACATGAGAAGAGACAAGTACGATAATGAAGAGAAGAGGTAATGAAGGTTGAGACAAGATGAGAACAGTAGACAAAAAGAGAACAAGACGAATGAAAGAGACAAGAGGAGAATGGACTAAGAGGAGATAAGAAGAAAAGACAAGAGGGTGAGAAGAACTGAGATGAGAAAAGATGAGACAAAACTGGAAGACAACAGACAAGAGGAGAGCATGAGACAAGACTGATAGGAGACAAAAGACTAAATAAGACATGATCAGAATGAAACAAGAAGTGAAGAAAAGAGAACGAGAGGAGATGAGAAGACATGAGACAAGAAGAAACATTGTATTTTAAGCTCCAGACGTTATGCAACTGCAGACATGGATTGTTGAAACATCACTCTTCATCTCTACCCTGCTTCATCTCAGCCCAACCTCAGCCCCCCATTTCCATTTCTCCTGTTGATTTTCCAGACTCTTCTTTTCCGCAATCCCTCCCTCTCCATTCCTTCCCACATGTCCGATGCTGGGACGCACACACAGTGAGGTCATTGTTTCACCATCTCCCCTACTGTGTGTTCCCCTGTTTGTTGTTGTGAGACTGGATTACAGCATCTCTGGATAAAGCTGGAACGCCTCAAACCAGTGGAAAGTATTTAATGACTAATGAAGAGAAAAGGCAGCATGGTACTGCAGACATTTATACTCGAACACAAATACAAAGCGCAAAAACTCCATCTCATGCATGAGCACACATTCACACCAGCTCCTGTATTACACACAAACACCTGCATTAAACACAAAGAGGAAATTGATTTTTAAAGCCTGATTTTGAGCCTCTAGTCATGCAGAACTTTTCCCCACATACTCAATTAGAGAATATTTCAGCTCCGCGCTCCTCTTATTTCATCTAAGTCAAGGAAAACATGACCAAAAAAAAAAAAAGAAAAAGAACAAACTGAAGTAGAGGGGAGGACTGAATCAAAAAAACAACAACACACCACAGACCTTATGCAAATATCCCCCGGTAAAAGATACCCTTATGTGCCTAATTTTTAACATCTGTCAGTGGGTAATCTGTAGGGTCTGTCTGTATGTGTGTTTGCATAAGTGTGCTTTTATACCCGAGTTTGCGTCTATTGTTTCCTGCACTGAGTACATAAAGTGAAAAAGTGACTAAAGTGACGTGACATGTGGCCAAGTATGGTGACCCATACTCGGAATTAGTGCTCTGCATTTATCCCATCCAAAGTGCACACACACAGCAGTGAACACACACACACTGTGAACACACAGTGGGCAGTAGTGATGCGCGGATGAGCTAAAACGTCACCCGAATCCGCAGCTTCAAATAAATGATCCACCCGCCAACCGCCCGCACCTGTATTTTTGTCTGATTTAGATAACCGCACCCGACCCGCAACCGATCATCACATTAGGGTTCGTACGGTCATAAAAAAACCTGGAAAAGTCATTGAACAGCAATTTCCAGGCCTAGAAAGTTTTGTAAAAATAAATAAACTCAAAACGTTTTTGAAAAGTAATGAAAATCTATTTCACAATTCTCTGTATAATAGAATTATGTTTAATCAGATCCTGAATTTCGTTGCGGGATTGCGCATACATCGCATTACTCATTCCCGCAGCTTTCGACTTTAAAATGAGGGAAATTACTGCAAAACCTTTATTCAATATAGCGTGTAGGTTAGATGAGTAAATAAATCCACACAAACTGCCGGTACGAGACTCGAACCCACAACCTTTGGGGTTACGAGTCCGACTCTCTAACCATTAGGCCACGACTCCCCACCCCCATTAAGAGTAAATGTAATATGAATACACTCCATATCTGTGCATGACAGGCCAATTCATTGGCTCAAAATACAGGTGCATCTCAATAAATTAGAATGTCATGGAAAAGTTCATTTATTTCAGTAATTCAACTCAAATTTATTTCATACACGAGTTTCACAATTTGAGTTGAATTACTGAAATAAATGAACTTTTCCACGACACTTTCTAATTTATTGAGATGCACCTGTATTTGTGTGAGTCTTTGAAGTGGGAAGCATAAAAGTCTAGCCAGAGACAAAAAAAAAAGAATGTATATTTACAGAAAGAGTGCTTTACCAGTGTTTATAGTCATATAAACCACATTAACATTTCATTTTACACAATAACAATGAAATATACAAGACAACTGTACCAGACAACTGTCAATAACTTTGATTAATCTGCTGCAAAAAAGATCAGTAATTACCAACCAATGACAAAACTGATTAGCTAACTACATATGATCAGTTAACCACTGAAAAATGAGAAAGTTTTGATGATCAGATACCCTACTGAATGATAGTGAAAGCACATATTATCAACTATCTACTAAATGATGTCAAAAAACTATCAATGGTCAACAAACTAGTGAATAATGAGTAAACTACTGTACTGATGATCAGCCGACTAAAGCATGATCTCTCCTATGCATCTACATCCCCTCCAGAAGCCTCGTGGTCCCATCGCAGAGAGGCACAAAATCAATCTCAAGAACGTTTTCTTTCACCGTACCCTGTTGTTGGAATGACCTACCTCCATTCGGACAGATGAATCCCTCACAATCTTCAAGAAACATCTGAAAACTCATCTCTTACATGATCATTTAACTGCCGCCTCATTAAAAACTCTTATTATCCTTTATCCCTTCCTGTCCTAGCTTTTACTATTTTGAACGATGACTGAAACTACTAATGATCACCTAACGACTAAAAGATTACAAAACTACTGATGATTAGCTACCTATTGTCACCATTCAACATTATGACAATAGTTCTGTCATAATTTAATAGTTAATAAAACTACTGATTAGCTAATTACTGAATGTGAATTTACGAATACAAAGTTACGAATGACAAAATTTCTGATCAGATAACTACTAAAAGAACACAAATCTACTGATAATCAACTATTAAATTATGACAAATCTACTGAAGAACAGCTAATTAGTGAATGATGGAATAATGACAAATCTACTGATGACCAGCTAACCACAAAATGATAAAAACACTGGTAGTTTTGTAACTATACAGTAACATTTGTAACTATATTCTTTCACTGACTTCCATAGCATTTTTTCCCATACTATGGAAGTCAATGGCTACCGTCAGCTGTTTGGTTACACACATTTTTCAAAATATCTTATTTTGTGTTCAAGAGAAGAAAGAAACTAATTTTTGGGTGAACTATCCCTTTAAACGATGACCAAACCATCACTTGCATGATGACAAAAGTATATATAATCAGCTAACGATTACATGATCGCAGATCTACAGATGATCAGTATACTACAGAAAGTAGCTTACTACAAAAACACACAGAGCCCACTGTGGTCTTGAAACACATATAGTTTAGCTGTTAGGTAACATTAGGTTCCAATCCTTTTAGAACATTTTGTTCGACTTTCCAAGCATCATCCGTCAGAAAGTATATTTGTGTTGGCAGGCGAGTGCATGCGGGTTGCTGAGCAGCCGACCGTTTTAGCCGTTTTCAGGATGTATATTGAGAAAAGTCTCCACAGAACACAAATTCCTGACTAATATCTCATACAGAGAGCTAGCCATATTATCAGGGGAGAACGTCTGTCTGTAAAGGTGTGTTTAAGTCTTAAAGTGGAGATTTTGGGGTGCAAAAACAACTTCTGCATTGAATATAAGCTTTATTCAACTATCATTCCCTTCTAGTTACACACTGTCAGCGTCTGCCAATTATGAAGCAACGATTGCACACAGAAACATGTACACACTCAGAGGGGGCCACATATTTCTTCAAAGGCCAACTGGATCAAGCCAACATCTTTGCTCAGGCCTCAGTGGAGCGATAAGCTTTTCAAACATCCCCATTACCTGCTCACAAGTTTCGATTCCCACTTGTCTCATTGACCTGGAGTGACTGTGACATACAATCACAGTGTGTGCATAGAGTCCAAATTCTTTTAACAAGAACCTTGACGCCATTTTCCAACCTAGCCAATCCAAGGCAATAAAGCCAAGAGATTTAGGCCAGAAACACTCATTCCCAAAGATGCTCAGCCAGCGCATTACAAGCATGCCAGCCCTTTGGAAGCTGAGCTACTAGAGAGGCCTCCACCCCTCGTGACCCGAACATTTACCTGCACCAACGCTTTTCTGCACTTTGATGCCCAATCCCCAACACAAACCACTTGGAAACCTTATTTTCCGCTTTTTAAGATTTGACGTTTTTATTTAAAGCAAACCAACTCTCGAAATACATGTTGCCTCAGAAACAATAAACATGTTTCCTACCGTAGTAAACTGGCTGACCACACACCTATTTGAGTATTATTTTGAATGAAAACCTATATTTAAAATTTAAAGCTACTGATTATAATGTTTGAAAATGTAATGTTCAAATTATGTTTCTCCAATTTTGCTTTTTTTTTTAAATTGAAAAGTACGTTTTATATTTGTGAAAATAAAAATGTAATACATTACTATCAGAAAATGCACTATACTGCTCAAAAGTTTGAGGTCAGAAAGATTTAAAAAGAAAAGAAATCAATACTTTTATTCAGCAAGGATGCACTAAAGGCTGCAATACACTACACAACTAATTTACCAACTTTGTAATAGTCACAGAGGAAAAACTGGCCATCATACACTAAACGACTGAGGATCACACACTATATCAGCCTGTAAAGTTGCTCCGATCACAACAAACTCAGGCTACGTTTACACTACTTTACTTTACTTTTAGTCATTTAGCAGACGCTTTTATCCAAAGCGACACTAGTGCGATTTCGTTTTAAAACGGCGTTTTAAAATGAAAACAATCCTCATATACACTTGTTTTCACTGCATTTCAGAAACGTTCTCCGTCCACACTACACAACCGAAAGCGCATGTCACATGACCATTCATGCAGGTACAACACTGAGCATGATGTTATTGTTTACATGGTCGTCAAGGATACGCAGAGCGAATGTGCGCATCGTTTTCAAAAGTCTCCGTTTTGGTCCGTTTACACTGAAACACAACCCCGGAGTTTTCAAACTAAAACGGGGTCTGCAGCGTTTTCGAATGTCTCCGTTTTCGAGAGTAGTGTAAACGACAGGTGTAACCGTAGCAAAAGTTATGCGTTTTAAAACGAAAATGCACTAGTGTAAACGTAGCCACATGCAGAAACCTTGTTGCTTGCCTTGTTGCTAAGAGACGCGTGACAAATGAAAACAATGTGTTCTAAAATCGGCTGAAAATATCAAACATGTTTGAAATCCTCAGACTGGATAGAATTAAAGTCTGAGGTCTGTGACCATCATACACTACACGATTTTCTATGAAATCTGTCAACTCAAATCTGCAGACTGGCTCTGAATTTTGACAACCAGCGTCAACTTCTCCAGACAGTAAATCTGCAGAAAATAAGGGCAAAAATAGTGTAGTGTATTCCAGCCTTAAATTGATCAAAAGTGACTGTAATGACTTTTACATTGTTACAAAATATAATTAAAATAAACGCTGTTCTTTTTTAGAAGTTTCTACTCAAAGAATCCTGAAAAAAAAGTGTCACAGTTTCTGCAAAAATATCAAGCAGCACAGCTGTTTTTTGATCATAATAAGAAATGTTTCTTGAGCAGCAAATCAGCATATTTGAATAACTTCTGAAGGATCATGTGACACTGAAGACTGGAGTAATGATGCTAAAAATTTAGCTTTGAATCACAGGAATAAATTATATTTTAAAATATATTAAAATAGAAAACTGATACTTTAAATTATAATAATATTTCACAATATTACTATTTTTTACCATATTTTTGATCAAATAAATGCAGTCTTGGTGAACATAAACATAAAAAATATATATATATAATAATAATAATCTTACCGAACCCAAACCTTTGGACGGTAGTGAATGTATGTTTTTTGTTTGTTTTTTAATTTGAACTTTTTATTTAGCTTTTCGATGGATTGGAAAGGTAACAAAATAACATCTACATGGTCTGTTAATTTTTGACCTTATTTGTCTTTATTTGCCTTATAAAAAAGCTGTTTTTCCTAATATCTTTCAAATCCCTTCATTCTCAAAGAATTACACGTTTCTTTAAATCTTTGTTATTACTGTTTGTTCAAATTTGTGTTGCTTTATAAGTTGCTGTCATAAAAAAATAAAAAAGTTATTTAAACTCTCTTTATGTTTTTTTTAACTTGCCAACAATATGACCGCCATGCCCCTGACGGTCCACTGACCCTTGACAAAGTGCTTTAATCTTAAATTAATTTTCATTTGTAATAATCTACACTCACTTACTCAGACAGAGCTGCAAGTCAACAATTAATCACTGTCTGTACCCAAGTAATGAGGCAACAGCAAAAAGTGTCTACAGTTTACCTGGTTAAAGCGTCGTGTGAAGGCCACTGCGTTGGGTGCTGAACTGTGTTTCTCCTTCTTGTTCCAGCCACAACTAGAGAGCTCCTGAAAAAATAACAAGAGAACAAAAATAGTCATGTAAAAAAAAAATTCACAGTCCAGTTGGTTTGAGATTGGGAAACTGGACAGAAACAATCAAGTCAACCAAACACAGCAGGAGGCGGCGAATGGTCTACAAAGCCAAAAACAAATCAACTCGGGACACCTGAAATAAGGTGAGCATCACTCATGAGCAGTGACCCTAGAAAACATCATTAATATGGCCTCTGACAGCAGAAGTTTGAATCTTTCCCAGTCCGTCACGCTTTGCACACTTGATTTTGCATCCAAACACAGAAGTCTTCTCAGACTCAGATGCCAATCATCTGAAAATTGTGTTGATCCTCTGTCTCGCTCGCATGGTGTGACTGATTGACTGAACAAGAATGGAAAAGCTTTTAAAATAATATTTAACAATGTGTATTTGGCAACAACACCATTGGATAAACATCAATCTGACATGCTAAATCTCCAAAACACGAACATGAACACTCAACTCCACCTGTTCTGTCGTCTATGAAACGTCTAAGCGCCAAGAGTAAAGCCGTCATGACAGTCTCATATACGACATATCGGCCACGCTTGGAAATTCACATTTGGAAACTCCTGACCATAATTATGCAACCGTGCGTTACATAATTACACCAAGCGCTCAGACATTTTCCAGTAGAGAATCGGTTTCAAACGACCTGTTAGCACCATTAAAACACAAAAACAAACTCTGATATGCATTCAACCACATAGAGAGATTTAATTCCCGACAGTTGTCAGTAACGGGAGAAAAGCTGCCTGATTCCATGATAGGACTTCAAGAACAATGAAATTAACCATCAAACATGTTCACCACGATTGTTCATCGGGAATGTACCTAACTTAAACCCGGCACCAACACAAGTGCAATCTCTCATGAGGTCACACTGGCAAACAGTGACTTAATGAGTCAGCAACCTGTGGAGGTAGCAGCTTAGCAACATACACAAACACAGATGTGGATATCCAAGCCAACACACACAGAGCTAAGTAAGTGTGCTTTCTGCATTGTGTCTCCAGCACCAACGACCACCAAGATGTGCCAATGAAATCACTTCTGCTGAATCAAGTTCTCCATGAGTAACAAATCCGAGCCCCTAATGTAGAGTTCAGAATCTGTGATGAGGAAAATCACCTACTGAGATATAATGAAACCAATCGCTACCCACTCTGAGAACAAAATAAAAGGTTAATGGCAGATCTCCGTTCTTCTTCTGTGATGCAATGCATTTCTGAGACTAAGGTAGAAGTAAACTGAACAATGACTTTATAAATTTAACTGAATGCTCCAAAGGGTAGCAGCTTAAGTAATATTTGGACTGGTAATCAAAAAGATGCAGGCTGGAAACCCTAAAGAGGGATCTCATCCACAAACAACACTGTCCATGTGTTACCTAAATCATATTGTACACTAAAATGTCAAGAACTGCCTCAATCTAATCGGCTGGATTTATGAAAACATGAGGAAGATCCTTAGGCACATCTGCATTTTCTGCTTTGTTTGAGTTGTCCCATTTTACATCTACCTATTTCTAAAATAAATAAATAAATAACTGTGGTTGATTAGTCAGAGGGTCTCTTCCTGTCTGGTTGGGAGTTTTTTTTGCAAGAAAAAGGTGCAAAGTAGACCAGTTGATAGCACTCAAAACAAGAAAACATGAAACCATGAAACCAAACCAAAAACACAACATGCAAAAACAAAACACAAGACACCAATCAAAATAAAACACAAGATAAAACAAAAAGCACAACACAAAAATAAAACACGTCATCAAACTAAATAAAACAAGACAAAACACAAAACAAAACAAAAACACAACACACAAAACACGACACCAAACAAAAATAAAATGAGACAAAACAAAACAACATACAAAACACAAGACAAACAAAAATAGCAAAAACAAACAAAAAAGACCCAAAACAAAATATAAAACACAAAAACAAATCAAAACAAAAAACATACACAAAAATTTTACCATGCAATATGCAATAACCAAGCATTTGAATCTGCAGTTGGAAGAGTATTTCCTTGACCATAAACTAGATAAGAGAAGAGAAAGCCAGCTGGGCTGATGTCAAATACTGCATCTGTCTTATTCTGGCAGTGACAGATTGAATAATGTACAAAGCAATGAACCCAGGGAAACTCATGGAGGAAATAAGGTAAGCAAAAAGACAAGTAGTTTGATGGGGGGAAAAAAATCCTCTGTTACTCTCAGTTTCATAGATTTCAAACCTTCAAACAAAAACAGGAGGAAGTCAGTTCTGTTCACAGGGAGCACTGCTATCGCACAAAAGTCTTTAAAGCAGTGGGAAGTCAATGGAAAGGGGATAATAGCTGTGTTTTATGTTGCCTTTCTTTCATGTCACATGAAAAGGCCTTTACTGTCTCTAAAATGCAACATAATTCTAAGATGTAGCAGCACTGATGTATCTATGTGAGTGCATTTGCACAGATGCTCACTAAAACACACCAGGACCACCTGTCATGCCTTGAAAACACAAAATCAATTGGCAACTTTATAGCTGTAAAAGGATTTAAATGCATATTCAACCACATTTTTCCCAATTTAAACAACAAAACAAGGCTGTTCTAATACCATTTCAGGAGGTATTCATTAACCAGCTGGGAATCACGAATTTCAGGAGGTATTCAATTAACCAGCTGGGAATCATGAATAAGATCATGGGAGATGAACAGTAATGGAACAAGTGCATGACAGGGATGGCAATGAGTAACTGTATGTCAAACACTGGCCTTCTGTCGGATTCCTTAAATGACATTAAGTCACTTTACATTAGCTGAACCTTAAAGGGGTCCTACAGGGTATATGTCGAACATCACCTGACCAAAACCGGAAAACAGGTCTCATTGCTTCCGCTTGTCGGAGAACGTGTTAACAGCCGTATTAAATAATAGCGATATCTATGGACTTTTAAGATAATAAGTTAAACTAGCTAGCTGTTTTTATTGTTGACGTTTTATTCAATTTTTATATCTAAATGTGAAAAGAATAAAAATAAAAAAAACTTTTAGATATCAGTCCACATATGTGATGGACATTGGTTATGATCATCATTGGTATCTACTTTGAAGGCATCTTGAGTAAAACTGCTTCATATTTAACTAAGCATATGCAAAACGCTTGAACCGGAAGCGAGGAGACTCGGTTAACAGAATACGGAAGTCTGTTGCGCATAACCCCTATTATGCTCTTTTACAAAGTCTTGATTTTGTTTTGGGGATGTAGTTTCAGATCTTTTTTACGCTCAAACAGCATCATTACAGACTAACTAAAGTTGAAAAAGTGAAAAAGCATAATAGGACCCCTTTAATATCATCACCTAGTCTGGAAACCTGGAGCTCACCCATAACCACAGCTCAAAATCAGACACAAACAGGGGAGCTGGAAATCAAAGAAAGAATTACACTTGACAAGGATGTGGACGTCTCCAGCCAGTACAATATGGACTATAAAAATACATAAGTTTAATACTACTAACGCTCACAGAATGGGTGGGCAAGAGCAGAGATTTTTCATCATGGCATTTAATGTCATCAGTGGTAAAATCCAACCATTTCTTTAATAATTTTACAGTTGTAATATAATAATAATAATAATAATAATAATAAAATATTTTGGGAATGGTTTACTAGAATTTGTGAGTGCTCCAAACAAACCCAAACCCATCTAAAGCAAAGTGAACTCACAATAGCACATCTCGATTACCCCGAGAGGTTCTCAGATTGTGGCTCACTTATGCATTAAAGAGCAGTTTGTGGGGGTAAAAAGTCCTTTCGTGTTCCTCAGGAAAAACTAACAGCATACAGGATCGTGAAGACATAAAGATAAATAAATAATGATAGAATTTATTGTGGAATGGACTGTTTCTTTAAAAAAAGTTAACTGGCACCACAAACCCTACAAGCTCAAGCCAGTTAACTAGTAAGAACATAATTTGCACATGTAGAAAATCAAACAATTTCGGCATGTGTGTCTGAAACCTGAAGATTATACATCTAAAATAGAAACTGTGTTCCAGTGATTCTCTCTCTCGCCTGCAAGAGTTTTGCCTTGTAAAAACGGTGTAAGAGAGAAAGTGAACATGCCATATGTACTGTCCACTGATCTCAACTGCTCTACAGAGCTTGGATCAGACTGCATCCCACCAAGCAAATGCTACTACACAAACGGCACAAATGTGTTCAGAATGGGAGAAGATGAGGAACTTCACTGGGGAAAATATCGTGGGTCCAAACTCTATGTTGCGAAATAGAGACACACAATAGTGGGGACTTAACTAAATGGTTGCACCACTTTAGCACGCTATATTTTAGTGCAAATATGCTGTGTCCTACTTACTAACCACCCACAACAGAGGGCTGCTCGATTATGGCGAAAATCATAATCACGATTATTTTGGTCAATATTATAATCACGATTATTTAACACTATTATGGGCCATATGACCAAAACTTTATATGAATGATTTATTTAGAGATAGCAATATAGATCAAATATATATTTTCAGTAAATAAAGTTGCTATGACATCTACATTTTAGATACCAGCGAAATTTCACAAATCTCAATATCACAGCAGAATACTAAGGTAACTCATAAAAAGCAAAAAAGGTTGTTAATCGTTGGAGGCCATAATCGAAATCGAAACTTTATTTCGATTAATTGCACAGCTCTAGTTTAACCAGGTGCTAAATGCTCTGATATAGCACTGATTATATAAAAAAAAAAAAGTTCACCCAAAAATGAAAATGGAAATCAGGCCATGTTTCTTCATCAGAACAGATTTGGAGAAATGTAGCATTACATCACTTGCTCGCCAGTGGATCCTCTGCAGGGAATGGGTGCCATCAGAATGAGAGTCCAAACAGCTGATAAACA